TTGTACTATATTATAGCATATAACAAACATATAGAAGAATCTGTAGAACACGGGGGGGGGGGCATGCCTTCAGACTTCCATAGCATTAGCATGATTTTGTGCTTCACACAATATTTGTTGGCTTTTAATGTCACAAATTATAACCCCCCCTTCAAACATTCTGCATAAGGCCCGAGTATACATACGCTCATGTATATTATCAAAAAATCTAATAATGCCCCCCCCCGTATGAAAATTCATGTAAAGTGTTTCATAATATCAAATACAACATTGGAAAAATAACATTGTTACTTCTGTAATAAATTTCAAAAGCTCGTTGAGATTATGTATCAAAGCATAACAAATATTAAATTATACTTTTATTGTAAACATTAATATATACTGGTAAAAAAACACTACTGCTTTCAAAATTTAGCCATAAACTAAAAATAAAAATGTCATGGTTAATTTTGTGTAAGGTACTGATATTAAACAAGCAATTATTGTCCTATATCAAGAAATATGTCCTGTGCCATTGTGTTTTTAACTTTAGGTCCACTGAAAATTTTTTAACATCCTGCTTGTATTGAGATTTGAAATATAGGACTTCTGAAATATTTACAAATTTGTATGTTAACATATTATATAATTTTGTATCAAGTTATAACACAACAACGGATAAGAAGGGATCTATTGCTCCATCTCGGCTGTCCCATCTCTAAATGTAACTAGAACTATCAAATAAATAAATCAAAAAATAAAATATAAATCTTAAAGGAGAGTAGAAAGGTGAATTAGTTTTGCAAATAACGTAACATATTAATTAGGGACAATAAGGGACCTACTGGTCCACTAGGCTGTCCCATCCACTAAAGTAAAAACTTTCAAAGCCACCCCTTATCATTCATCTAGTTATCAAGCTTTCTCTTAAAGTCACTTAAATTTACTGCCTCTACAACATCCAAAAGCAACCCATTTCAAAGGTAACCACCCGGTTAGAAAAATAAAACTGTCTTAGCTGAAGATGACTCC